CCCACCTGAGCCCTCTCGGCCACGCTGACCCGGACGCGTTTCCCGTTCAGCTCCAGCGGCGCCGTCTCCCCAAACTTCACGGCGGCCATCACGGCCTCCTTGTAATTCATCTCCAGGTACGCCTGAAATTCCCAACATTCCCAAAAAATTCCTGAAATTCCTGAAATTTCCCCCAAAATTCTCACATTGCTCCGGTTCTGGGAGGGTCCGGGGGTGTTTTTAGGGAGGGGAAAAAGGGAAAAAAGGAAAAAGGGGAAAAGGGGTAAAGGGGTAAAGGGGAAAAGGGGAAAAGGGGGAAAGGGGGAAAAATGGGGAAAGGGAAGGAAAAGGGAGAAAAGAAGGAAAAGAAAAAGGAGAAAAAGGGGAAAAGAAGGAGAAGGAAAAAAGGTGAAAAGGAAAAAGAAGGAAAAGGGGGAAAAGGAAAAGGGAACAGAGGAAAAAGAAGGAAAAGGAAAAGGGGGAAAAGGGAAAAGGAAAAGGGGGAAAGAAGGAAAAAATGGGGAAAGGGAAGGAAAAGGGGAAAAGAAGGAAAAGGGGAAAAGGGGGAAAAGGGAAAAGAAGGAAAAGGAAAAGAGGAAAAAAGAAGGAAAAGGGAGAAAAGAAGGAAAAAGGGAAAAAGAAGGAAAAGGGAAAAAGAAGGAAAAGGGGAAAAAGGATAAAGAAGGAAAAGAGGAAAAAGAAAAGGGGAAAAACGGGAAAAGGAAAAGGGAGAAAAAAAGGAAAAGGGGGGAAAAAAGGGGGGAAAAAGGAAAAGGGAAGGGGAGGAAGGGAAAAGGAAGGAAAAAAGGGGGAAAGGGAGAAAAGAAAAAAGGGGAAAAGGGGGGGAAAAGGGGAAAATAAAAAAAGGGGAAAAACTGGGAAAAAGAAAAAAAAAGGAGAAAAAAAGGCAAAAAAAAGGCGGAAAAAAGTTCTCGGAAAATTCCCCATCCATAAAATCCCCAAATTCTGAGTGGGAATTGTGAATTCCTCATTCCAGGCTGGGATTTTTGGGAATTCCAGCAGATCCCACATTCCCGGTTTTTTTCCCCCGTTCCCCCCGTTTATTCCTGGGTTTTTTTCTGGTTTTTTTCCCTGTTTTTTCCTTTTTTTCCCCCCCGTTTTTTCCCGCTTATTTCCCAATTTTTCCCATTTTTTCCCCTTTTTCCCGTTTTTCCTGGTTTTTCCTGTTTCTTTCCCGTTTTCCCCCTCTTTTCCCCCGTTTTTCCCCTTTCCCCCCATTTCTTTCCTGTATGTTTTCCCATCTTTCCACTTTTCCTGTTTTTTCCTGTTTCTTTTCCCATTTTCCCCTCTTTTTTTCCCAGTTTTTTCCCCATTTTTTTTCCCGTTTCTTTCTGTTTTTTTCCCTGTTTTTCCTGTTTTTTTCCCCGTTTTTTCCCCCATTTTTTTCCTCTTTTTTTTCCCCCATTTCTTTCCCTTTTTTCCCTTCCCCCCCATTTCCTCCCCTTTTTTCCCGTTTTTTTTTCCGTTTTTTTCTGGTTATTTCACCATTTTTTCCCCATTTCCCCCCCTCTCACCTCATTCCTGGAGTGCAGCACGCTGAGGTCACTCATGGTCCCAAAGGGCTGCACGAGCTCCCTGATGTCCCACATCCCCTTTTTCCCGTTTCTTTCCCATTTTTTTCCCTGTTTCTTTTCCTTTTTTCCCCTTTTTCCCCCCATTTCTTTCCCTTTTTTCCCATTTTTCCCTATTTTCTCCCATTTTTTTCCTGTTTTTTTTTCCCATTTTTCCCTATTTTCCCCACTTTTTTCCTGTTTTTTTCCCCATTTTTTCCCTTTTTTCCCCCCCATTTTTTTCCCTTTTTCCCCCCCATTTTTTTTCCCCTTTTCCCTGTTTTTTTTCCGGTTATTTCACCATTTTTCCCCCATTTTTTCCCCATTTTCCCCCAATTTTCCTGGGTTTTTTTCCCCATTTTTTCCCTTTTTTCCCCCCGTTTTTTTTCCCTTTTTCCCCGTTTTTTTCCCCGTTTTTTTCCCGCTTATTTCACCATTTTCCCCCCATTTTTTCCCCCATTTTTTCCCCCATTTTCCCCCAATTTTCCCGTTTTTTTCCCCGGCTCACCTCATTCCTGGAGCGCAGCACGATGAGGTCGCTCACGGTCCCGAAGGGCTGCACGAGCTCTCGGATGTCGCGGTCGCTGAAGCCGTGGCTGGGCAGCTCCGACACGCGCAGCACCGTGCCACAGCTCAGCGCCTCCTCCCTCAGCAACTGCCCCAAAACATCCCAGAATATTCCCAAAATATTCCCAAATATTCCCCTGCAGCACCGTGCCACAGCTCAGCGCCTCCTCCCTCAGCAACTGCCCCAAAAATTCCCAAAAAAATCCCAAAATATTCCCAAATATTCCCCTGCAGCACCGTGCCACAGCTCAGCGCCTCCTCCCTCAGCAACTGCCCCAAAACATCCCAGAATATTCCCAAAAACATCCCAAAATATTCCCAAAAATTAACCCAAAATAAATATTCCCAAAAATATTCCCAAAAATATTCCCAAAAAATCCCCAATATTCCCAAAAATAAATCCAAAATATTCCCAAAAATTCCCAGGAATTTTTCCCCCAAATCCCAGAAAT